TCTTCTTCTTTTTTTTCTTAACATATATTGCATTATTTGTTTCAGAGATACAGATCTGTGATTCAACAGTCTTGCACAATTCAGAGCGCTCACCATAGCACATACCCTCCCCAATGTCTATCACCCAGCCACCCAATCCCTCCCACCCCCCACTACTCCAGCCACCCTCAGTTTGTTTCCTGAGGTTAAGAATTCCTCATATCAGCGAGGTCATATGATACATGTCTTTCTCTGATTGACTTATTTCACTCAGCATAACACCCTCCAGTTCCATCCACGTCGTTGCAAATGGCAAGATCTCATTCCTTTTGATGGCTGCATAATATTCCATTGTGTATATATACCACATCTTCTTTATCCATTCATCTGTCGATAGACATCTTGGCTCTTTCCACAGTTTGGCTATTGTGGACATTGCTGCTATAAACATCGGGGTGCATGTACCCCTTTGGATCCCTACATTTGTATCTTTGGGGTAAATACCCAGTAGTGCAATTGCTGGATTGTACGGTAGCTCTATTTTCAACTGTTTGAGGAACCTCCATACTGTTTTCCAGAGTAGTTGCACCAGCTTGCATTCCGATCAAGAGTGTAGGAGGGTTCCCCTTTCTCCACATCCCCGCCAACATCTGTCGTTTCCTGACTTGTTAATTCTAGCCATTCTGACTGGTGTGAGGTGGTATCTCATTGAGGTTTTGATTTGGATTTCCCTGATGCCGAGTGATGTTGAGCACTTTTTCATGTGTCTGTTGCTGGCCTTTTCTTCTATTATTTCACATGGTTAGTCACTCTTGCTGAAGTCCCAACAAAACGAAGTACATGGCAGCTCCATTCCAGGGCACTTGGACATAGGATAAAGCCTGAAAGTTGTTCATTAAGTTCTGGTCTTAGATAATTATAAATAAGTTTATCTTCTTCATGAATGTCTGGTGGGACACTAAAAAGTCATGAGAGACAATTCATTATTGTCTGGGACTGTCCTGAACATTACAGCAAATCTAGCATTCCTGGATATCTTTTCTAAATGCTTTTATTGACTTGTCACCTCCTTCACTCACTGTGACAAAAAATGACATGCTCAGAATTTTGCAGAAATCCCACTATGGGATGGTACTCGCTTTGCTGAAGAATGGCTACAGTGTGCCTTTTTCAGGATGAGTGGAAGCAGGCCTATTGGCAAGAACTAACATCATGACAGGCAGCAAAATACTTCTGAAATTCTATCCTAGCTTTGGACTACCTTTTTCTGTTAATAGTAATTGAGACACGTTTTATGGGAAGATGCTAAAGGACGTTTGTAAAACTACAGAGACTCATGAATGTTTTTAACTGTGCATACCATCCGGAATCAGTGGGGGCAGTGAAGTATGCAAATGGAGTTAAAAAAATAACTAGTCAGAATGTGAGCAGAATGTGAGCTAAAATGTTTAGAGGCACTGTCCTCACTCTTAGGAACTTGAGATCAGTGGCCAACACTACACTTAAATTCTTCCCACATGAATTATTAATAAGCAGGCCTGTGTGACTGCTGATTCTTCCTCTGGCCACTGCCCCCTGGCAGGAATGCAGGAGATAGAAAATGTGTTAGGTATCACAGAGTAGAATTAAGTTCACAAATGTATTCCAAATTTTTTAGGAATACCTATTCATGGGAGAGGAGAACTCATGAGAGGGCAGAGAATCGTGACCACGCAAGGTAGTGTGAAGCTGTTGTGTGAAGGCTGGGCAGTGGGACCCTGAAAGGGCACTCAGATTCATACACTGGAACAAATGAGGATTTCTTACAGTGAGTGGAGGCCAGTGGATGGGCCTCCTATTATAGTGTTTCAGTTCTGGTTATTAAAACATCCTCATTTAAGTTTTTAAGGCTCAGAATTGGCCATTTTAAGCCTTCAGTTTCACATCTGAGTCCAAGTTTGCTCCCTGCTCTAACGAGGGTGGGCCAGTCTTTTGGCTCCATTGGCTTGTAGGATGGTTGGTGGGAGGGCTGAGGACCACCCTCCACCCCCACCTCAATGGCACCAAGGAGATACTGAACCATGACTGCTCATGGAGAGGTGACTGTCTTCCCTGTTTGTTACATGCATTATTCCCTATGCATATAATCCCATGTCAGGATATGGTCCTCTTTCTGGAGGTTCTATCTTCAATCTAGGTGGGTACATGGAGGTTTCTACTGTCTATAGTAACAAGCCATTTAGTTCTGAGCAGTTCTTTTAGGTGGAGGTGGCCTCTCTTGCAGCTTGGCTTCATCTTCCTGCTGACGTCAGTGGCAGCACTTTTTGGAAGTGCTTTGGTAGGTATTGTTCTCCATGCTAGAGCAACTGTTGGGAGCCCTGGGGCTTCTGGTTTCCTCTCTCTCCAGGGTCCCCAATGCCGGGGACTACTGGCAATGGTGGGGTCCTTCTTTTTACCTCTTGCAAACTCCAAATTCCTGGGCTGGTCTATGGCCCTCTGCATGCTTACATAGCCAAGCCTTTTCTGAATGTTGTTAGCTCTGGCCCCAGTTGCTCTGGAGCAGCTCAGCCAATTCCATCCAGGTCTCAAAGACCCTCAGCTGGGAATGGGATTCTTCCTGTAGACACCCACAAACCTTATAGCTGCTTCTCTCCTCCTTCAGCTTCAGAGAGTAGCGCCCTGCAAATGCCACACTCCTACCGTGGGATGCTGAGGTGAAAGGATAAACCTTCCTAAACTTAACACCGTTTGGGAGTGGGGGCAATATAGTGCTCAGTACAGAGAAAAGGCACCTGTGTTAGTTTTATAGGCTAGTGTAACAAAGTATCCCAGAGCAGATGGCTTAGAACAACAGAACTTTATTGTCTCCCTGTTCTGGAGGAGAGATGTCCAAAATCAGGGCATTGACAGGGTCATGCTCCCTCTGAAACCTTTAGGAAAGGATCTGTCCTTACCTTTTCCTCACTTCTGGTGATTTCCCAGCAATCTGGCATTTCTGGGTTTGTAGATGCACATCCTCTTGTCTTCACATGTTTCCCCGAGTCTTCATGTGGTCTTCCCAGTGTGTATGCGTGCCTCTGTGTCCAAATTTCCCCTTTCCCTAAGGACACCTGTCATTAGAATAGGGCCGACCCTAACGGTCTCATTTTAACTTGATTACCTCTATAAAGACCCTATTTCCGAATAAGGTCACATTCTGAGGTACTCGGGACTGGGACTCCAACATATCTTTTTGGGGGGCACAATGTGACCCACAAAAGCGTGCCCCAGCAAGCTCTCAAGTGGTTTTTTTGGGCTTAGAATGTTGAACACATTTTCTGCTTTCACAGGAGGACTCTGGTCACTAATTCTTGGAAAACAAAAATTCCATCCAGCCTTCTATATCATCATGCTACAGATATAATGATAAGAGCTAATAAATGATAAATAATTTATTGAGGGCATAGCATAAACTAGGTCTCTTCTAAGTCCTTTAATGATGTGTTATAATTTAATATTTGCATCTACTCTGTGGGCTAGGAACTATTATTTTTATTTTACAGGTGAGGAAATAAAAGCACAGTGAAATCAAGTCTTGCAGTTGCTACATTGACAACATGCCTGCCTCCAAAGTCAGAGTATTTCCTTCTCTCAGATGAAGGAGTCCTTTCACTCAGGCCAATCTCTTCCAACCAGAGACAAAGTGGGTATTCAACTTTACTTTCCCATGTCCCCTGGGCTGGCTGTATTTGTCTGTGTTAACTCAGATTGTTTTTAAAAAGGGTAGAATCAACTTGTGATCAAATTGCATCCTTTATTGAAGAAGTAGGGAGAAGGTGTACCAGAAAGGACTTCATTAGCATGTCTTTTCCATGAGCCCTCTTGAAAAAAATTACAGTTCTTCACTAATTAAGTTGATGTTTTGTTCTTGACTGGAGTCATGCTGGTCCTTTGATGGAGACACTGGATTCTGACAGTGAAGGACCTGGGGTGAGTGGGTGAGAGCAGACTGATCACTATTATACCATAAAATAAGAGCCTTGTCATGAGCCACTGAGTCAAAACAAGACAAAACAACAGCAATCACAAACAAACAAATATGTAAACCTAGAATGTGACCAGGTGAAACCACCCACTCTGTCCTGGGGAAGAGGTTAAGGTGCAAGAGACCTCTGGCCCATCAGTGTTTCAGTGAATTACAACCACTGCATTAAACTAAAATATTACTCTTCAGAAAATGACTTTGACCTTGAGCTGGCCTGTAGTGAGTGCTAAGATTCCTCTTGGGTCCTCTACTTCATATTCTAGGTCAGAAGGAGAAATAGCTGAACAACCCATGGAGCAGAGAATTGTCTGGCTTAGACTATGGGATTTGGGGGAGTCACTGCAGAAGGCATTCTAATGGTAACAGTCTACGTGATGAGATGAAGCAAGGTGAATGAAGTAGGCATCGTGAGGTAGCATTAGGCTACCGTCAGAAAGAGGGTCATCCACTTCCAGATGCGGTTGACTGAAGGTAATTGAAACTTTGGAAAGAAAAACCACGGATAAGGGGGATCTACTGTATATGACCATAAAGTTTGACCAAGAAACCCTGTTGCTAGAAACCTTCAGTAGCACCCAGTACTTACAGGCTAAATTCCAAATTCTTTAGTAGGGTGGTTGAGCCCTATTAGGATCTGGCCTCAATTTGCCTCTCCAACTTCATTTTCCGCCACTTTCCTCTACAACCATCCTACAGGAATTCTGCGAACCTGCCCTGCTGGCTCCAGGCAGAGTTTGAGGCTGACTTAACCATATGCAGGTTTTGTGGGGGAATTTAATGACGTATTTTGGAAGAACTTAGACAAACCGTATAGGTAAGGAGATAAGATTATCAGTCATTAAAATCAATCTCCTTCCATCACTATTTAGTGATTGTTTCTATGCTTTATTTTATTAATGTAGTGTATTATATTGATGGATCTTTTCCCAATTAAAAAACTCTGTTAAAATACACATAGTATTTATCATTGTAACCATTTTTAAATGCCCAGTTCAGTGGTATTAAATACACATATGATGTTGTGTGACCATCACCACCACACCCATCTTCATAGTTCCTTACATCTTGTAAAACTGGAACTCTAGACCCATTAAACAGTCACTCCCCACTCCCCCATCTCCAGCCCCTGGCAACCTTCATTCTCTTTTCTGTCTCTAGGATTTTGACCACTCTCTCTCATATGGAATGGAATCACACAGTATTTGCTTTTTTGTGACTACTTTATTTCATTCAGCATAATGTCCTCAAGGTTTATCAATGCTGTTTCATGTCAGATTTTTCTTCCTTTTTAAGGCTGACTAATATTATATTGTATGGATATACCACATTTTGCTTATCTATTCTTCCACTGATGGACACTTGGGTCGCCACATTTTAGCTATTGTGAATAATGCTACTATAAACATGGGTGTACAAATATCTCTTTGAGACCCTGCTTTCAATTCTTTGGTGTACATATCCAGAAGTGGAATTGCTGGATCTTATGATAATTCTATTTTTAAATTTTTGCGGGACAACCATGTTGTTTTCCATAGCAGCCGTACCATTTTATGTTCCCACCAAGAGTGCACAAATGTTCTAATTTTTCCACATTCTAGCCAGTATTTGTTATTTTCTAGTTTTTTATTTTTCGATAGTAGCCATCCTAATGGGTGTAAGATGGTATCTCATTGTGGTTCTGATTTCCATTTCCCTGATGTTCAGTGGTGTTGAGCATTTTTGCTTATTGGTTATTTGTATACTTTATTTGAAGGAATGTCTATTCAAGTCCTTTGCCCATTTTTGAATTGTTAAATCTCTCTATATTCTGGATATTAACCCCTTATCAGATATGTGATTTCCAAATATTTATCTGATTCCATGTGTTGCCTTTTTACTCTGTGGGTATTGTCTTTTGATGCACAAAATTTTTAATTTTCATGAAGTCCAATTTGTCTGTTTTTACTTTTGTTGCATGTGCTTTTGGTATCATATCCAAAAAATCATTGCCAAATCCAATGTCATGGAGCTTTGCCCCATATTTTCTTCTAAGAGATTTACTATTTCAGGTCTTACATTTAAGCCTTTGATCCAGTTTGTGTTAATTTTTGAATATGGTGTGAGGTAGGGATCCAAATTCATTCTCTTACATGTGGAGACTCAGTTTTCCCAGTACTATCTGTTGAAAAGACTGTACTTACACTGTTTTGATTATTGTAGCTTTGTAGTAAGTTTTGAAATCAGGAAGTGTTAGTCTTCCACCTTTGTTCTTCTTTTTCAAGGTTGTTTCGGCTATTTGGGATCACCTGAGATTCCATATGAATTTTAGATTTTTCTATTTCTGTGTAAATAGCATTGAGATTTTCATAGGGATTGCATTGAATCTGTAGATTTCTTTGAGCAGTATTGACATCTTAACAATCTTAATTCTTCCCATCATGAATGTGGGATATGTTTCCATTACTTATGTCTTTTTAAATTTTTTCAGTAGTGTTTTTTATTTTTCATTGTATAAGTTTTTCACCTACTTGGTTAATTTAATTCCCAAGTATTTTATTAATTTTGATGCTATTGTAAATGGAATTGTTTTTGTAATTTCCTTTTCAGATTTATTCAGGATATATTTCTGGACTCTTGATTCTACTGCACTGATTTTTACATCTATCCTATGCCAGTACTGCAATGTCTTGATTACTAGAGCTTTGTAGTAACTTTTGAAATTGGGAAGCATGAGCATTCCAGCTTTGTTTTCTTTTCTTTCTTTTTTTTTTTTTTGTAGAGCAGTTTCAGGTTTGCAACAAAATTGAGAAGAAGGTACAGAGATTTCCCATATAACCCTTGTCTCCACACATTATTGACATGAGTCACCAGAATGGTACATTTGTTACCAAGGATTAATCAGGATTGACATATCATAATCACCCAAAGTCCATAGCTTACTCTAGGGTTAACTCTTGGTGTTGTATATTCTATGGGTCTGGACAAATGTATGATGATATATATCCATCATTATAATATGCAGAGTATTTTCACTGCACTAAAAATCTCTGTGCTCTGTCTGTTTATGTCCCCTGCCCCTTGGCAACCACTGATCTTTTCACTCCATAAAAAGTAAACATATCCATAGTTTTGCCTTTTCCAGATGTTGTATAGTTGGAATCATACAGTATGTATACTTTTCAAATTGGCTTCTTCCACTTAGTAATATGCATTTGAGGTTTCTTCATGTCTTTTCATGGCTTGATAGCTGATTTATTGTTAGCACTGAATAATATTTCATTGTCTGGATGGACCACAGTTTATTTGTCCATTCACCTACCGATGGACATCTTGGTTGTTTCCAAGTTTTGGCAATTATGAATGAAGTTTCTGTAAACATCTGTGTGCAGGTTTTGTGTGAATATAGTTTTCAACTCTTTTGGGTAAACACCAAGGGATATGATTGCTAGACTGCATGGTAGTATATTTAGTTTTGTAAGAAACCATCAAAACCACTGCCTTCCAAAGTGGTTGTACCATTTTGCATTCCTAGTAATGCAGTGTGTGAGATTTCCTGTTGCTCCATATTCCCACCAGTATTTGGTGTTGTCAGTGTTCCAGATTTTGGTCTTTCTAATATGTGTGTAGTGATTTGTTTTCTTTTTTAAATATTGGTTTGCCTATTTTGTGTCCTTTCCACTTTCATATGAATATTAGCATAAGCTTATAAAAAATCAGCTGAGAACTTGGAAGGGATTGTGTTAAATCTCAGATTTAATTTGGGGAGTATTACCATCTTAATATTAAATCTTCTGAGAACATGGGATTTTTCCATTTGTTTAAATATTCTTTAATTTCTTTCAATAATGGGTTCTAATTTGTGGTGGACAGGTCTTACACTCCTCTTGTTAAATTTATTCCTGAATATAAGTTATATAAGCATTTTATTTTTTGATGTTATTGTAATTGTGCTTTCATTTACAGAAATAACAATTGATTTTCTCATATATTGATCTTATATCCTACCAACTTGTTGAACTTGTTTATTAGTTCTACTAGATTTTTTTGTGTGTGGATTTCTTAGCATTTTATATACACAAGATCATATTGGCTACAAAGAGTTAGTTTTACTTTTTCCTTGACCAACCAACCTGGATACTTTCATTTCTTTTTATTGCCTAATTTATCTGGCTAGAAGCTCCAGTACAATGTTGAATATAAATGGCAAAAGCAGACATCCTTGTCTTGTTCCAGATCTTAGAGCAAAAGGATTCAATAACTCTTCATCAAGTATGATGTTAATTGTGGATTTTTTCCCCCCACAACTAAATACCCCTTTTCAGGTTGAGGAAATTCCCTTTTATTCCTAGTGTGTTGAATTTTTTTTTAACCATGAAAGGGTGTTGGATTTTGTTAAATGCTTTTTCTATGCCTATTGAGATAGTCATGTGTTTTTTTGTCTCTTATTTTATGAGCATGGTATTTATCAGCATGTATTACATTTGATTTTCATGTTAAACCAGCTCTGAATTCCTAAGATAAATCCTAATTGGTAATGATGTATGGTACTTTTGTAATGTTGCTGGATTCCATTTGCTAGCGTTTTTTTCTTTGAGGTTTTACACATTTATATTCATAATGGATCCTGGTCTATACTCTCCTTTTGTTTGATGTATTTGTCTGGTTTTGGTATCAAGGTAATAACCAGCCTCATAGAGTGAGTCAGGAAGTATTCTCTCCTCTTCTTTTCTGGAACAATTTGTAAAATATTAGTGCTAATTCTTCAAGTGTTTAGTAGAGGGGTGACTGGGTGGCTCAGTCAATTAAACATCCTGCTCTTGATTTCGGCTCAGGTCATGATCTCAGGGTCGTGAGACTGAGCCCCATGTCAGGCTCTGCACTGAGGATGGAGACTGGTTAAGATTCTCTCTCTCCCTCCCCTCTGCCCCTTCCCCCACCGCACCCCACTTGCATGCATGTGC